TTGAGCTTGAGTCTCAAACTTGTTGGTTAGGGTGCGTATATGCAGTGGACGTGTAGCTGGTTATAGTAGGTTGGGTGTACCCTGTTAGGTCTAGGTACTCATGCCCACCTTTGGGTGCGTATTCGCATGTTGCCTTCTATTCAGGTTGAGACCCCTACTGTAGTTCAGTGAATGTCCCATAGTGTGGATATATATATGTATGGACTAGATAGATATTGTGAGGTATCTATGGTGTATCTGCGTATCGGGTCACTGTATGGATTGCAGTTAGATTAGAACTTGCTAGTGGGCCTGACCCACACTTTTATTATTTTTTTCAGGTGTTCGTCAGTTCTGGGCTGTAGAGCTTGATCGTGCTGAGCAGATACAGTTATTCACTCTACTGATGGCGTAGGATTTTATTTCATGTTAAGATTTGGGTTTTGTTCCAGTCTTTTGAGTACCATTGGATATTTTTAAGGGTCCACTAGATGGATTCCCGAGTTGTATAAATTGGAGAACGATTTCCATTCGTGGTGGATCAATTGTATCAAAAATAGTTTTAATTATCAATGAAATTATTTATTCTGAGGTTTTCAATTATTGGATTATCATTCTAGATTCTTTTCAGCAAAATTTTATTCATTCTTGTTTTCTATATTGTATTCTGTGTTCATTAAATTGCTAATTGTTTTGATATCCTCGGGTAATCGGGCGTGGGCCTGGCCAACCCGCATCCGGAAATCCGGGGGTATCACACCTAGGTTACTCTGTTTTCCTCAAACCCTCTCTCTGTTTGCACTCTACAACTCTCTGTATTTTCACTGTACGTGAATAAGGTTTGAAAATAGGGTTTGTGTTTATTTTTCCAAAAAACCCTAAGAAAATATAATGATGTATTTATAGAGGTTTAAGGAAAACCTAAATAGAATTCTGAAATTCTGAAAGGAGCCGAAAAAACTCGTGAGAATAAAATAAAACCCTAAAATTATAATACATATTAAATTAGGATTGATAACACCAGTTTAATTATTAATAAATACTAACAATTAAACTAACCCTATATACGGATATACTCAAATATACATGTATATACTTCCATGGGTAATACTGTACCCATCCCCCCTCTTATCCGAATAATCCATGAGACCCAAACGGTTGGTCCATCACTACTATCCAAACCCAACTTCCATTAATCAATAAAACTTAAATTTACAAATAATTCAATTAACATTAATCCAAATAAAAACATATATAAATACATATTCAATTTAAAACAATTTAAACATTAAACAAACAATTAAACATTAATTCAAATAAAAACATATATAAATACATATTCAATTTAAAACAATTTAAACATTAAACAAACAAAACACACATAACTACAATTAAATCAATTAATAAAGTAAAACAATTACACACTTAAATAACTAGTCATATAAAAAAAATGTAATAAAAATAATTGAAATTCTAATTTTATCCAATTTTATCCTCTTTAAAATTAGGGGTATTACATTATGTGCGACTGTCATGTGTGCAGCGGTAGGTTTAGTTGCAGAAAGAAACTCTAGTGCTTGGAGAATAAAAGCTGATATATCCTTGGTTGCTATTGTATATTCGGTAACAAGCTAATGACATTCTTGGTTCAGTTTTCTTCCGCGAATAACTTTTTATTTTCACATAACTAAAAGTCAAAAAATTGTACAAAAACTTGTTTAGTTGCATTTTTCTGAAAATTCAATCATAAAAAATGGCTTGTTTTGAGAAAACTTATATTGTTTGATATGAAGAAAAAAAAAAAGAAAAAAACAAAAAGATAGGAGGTACTGGTAATGTCTAAATAAAGGTTTTCTTCTATGTATGTAGGGAGTGTTTGGGTCATTTATCAACACTGCTATACAGACATGGGCCTTGCGTTTGAAGGGCCCAGTTTATGTGTCATTGTTCAAGCCATTGTCAATTGTTATCGCAGCAGCTATGGGTGTCATATTCCTAGGGAACACACTCGATCTTGGAAGGTCCAAATCTCTCTCTCTGTATATCAGCTATTTCATTTACCCAAAATCATATAGATACCCATTATTTGTTTTAGGAAGTTGAATTATTATTATTAGTATTAATAATTCACTCAATCATTTTCTCTGTGTCTTTTGTAACATGTAGTGTGGTTGGAGCAATAATAATATCTATTGGGTTTTATGGTGTGATGTGGGGAAAAACAAAAGAAGAGATGATGGAGGGCTGTGGAGTTGATAGCTTGGACCAATCTTCTAGTCAAGAGAAGTCTCTATTGGAACACCATACAGGAGAAAAGTTGCCCAAATAATACACCACCCAATGATGCTGGGTGGACTCGAATGGATCCAAAAAATTATGTGACCTCATTCGGAAAAGATCCTAATACATATCAAATCATATTCTATCAATCACATTGTGTCATCTTCTTCACTTTCTCTCTTTATCAATTTCTTTATCACCACACCATGACCCCAAACGTCAAATCCGTCACTTCATATCCCTAAAATATAATAATTTCTTGTAATTTTCGTGTAACCAAACCATGAAATATAATTCTTGTACAAAATTCTTACAAACATGTAATTCCAATTTGTACATGATAGTTTATTTTTTCACTTTCAAATAATTTTTCTGAAAGATCGCAATTTAGATATTCAAATAAAATAATCAGTTTTATTAGTAAAACAGATTATTTGATCAAATATAATTATTTAGAATAATACAGTATAACAGATTTTATGACTTTACTCCTCCAAATATATAAATTAGGGTTAATTACAACGAAACTCCCTGAGGTTTATCGTATTGACAGACATATATAAGTTAGCTTTTTTTTAGACAATAAGACCCCTCAAGTTTGTAAACTTTAAACAATGACACCCCAAACTAGATGAAAGTACATGTTTACCCTTTGACCACGTAAAATGACCAAAGTAACCTCAGCCAATATACACAACCACCACTCATCACCACCCTAACCTCAACAACCACCATCTTCTTCATTGTTCCACCACCATCACACAAGCCCTACAATTCAAAATTACACACATATATCTATATATACATACATACAAAACAATAGGGTAATTACACACACACACACATATATATATATATATACATACAAAACATAGGATGGAGGCAGCCATTGAACCCGGTTGTATTACCTTCCGAGCTCTCTTCCATAGATCCTTCCGAGCACAGCCATTGAACCCGACCGAGTCTAACTCGGACGAGTCAGAGCCCATCACCGCCGCTATCAGTCAGCTGCGCCCGTCACTGCCGTTCTGAAGTCAACTGAGCCAATTGCCGCCGATTTCGTCCAGCCAAGCTATCCACCGGCGTTTAGTGCTATTAGCCCGTCACCCACAGCCGAGGCCGTCTTCCCGTCACCCACAACCGAGATCGTCTTCATCACTGCCGAGCCCTCACCGGTCGCGCCCTCACCAGCCGCCGCGAGTCCTCCACGGCCGAGCCATCCACAGTTAAGCTCTCCTCCAGTCGAGCTCTCTAAAGTCGAGGCCGAGTTCATCCTCGCAGAATTCACCGCCAACCTATCCTCGCCGGATCCATCACAACAGCTATTCTCGGCTGTTGCTTCATCCTACCAAGTCTCCCTCTTGTTAAAAATAGATGACGGTGAGGGTTCGGGCAGAGGCCATTGCAGGAGAGTATCCGGAATTTTTGTTGGCGACGTTGCAAGGCCAAAATTCGAGCCGGCAATGAGGAATCAGTCGCGATTTCGGCGACGATTTTCTGCTTCACTATTCCTGTAATGGCTCGATGGCATCCTCGTCAGTCCTCAACGTAGAGCTTGGAACTCCGGCGGTGGCAGCACGGCGCGGAGGTCAGAACTGTAATTGCGGCGGCGGCGCGGCACCGGTCATCGAGTTTAGGCTTTTTCGGAACAGAGGGTAGAGATTTAAAAAAGGTAGTTCTGTCATATGCATATTTTGATATTTTAGATTAATAATTGATATTTTATTGAAGGGTAATTTCGTCTTTTCATAACTTTTAAGGGCTTGTTTGAATTAAAATTTCGGACAGGGAGTGTGAGTGTTCAAAAAATGGCTAACTTATATATGTCTATAAATACTTCAAACTTTAGAGAGTGTCATTGTAATTAATCCTATAAATAAATTATAGCCTCTTTGTCCTATTAAATTCACAATTAATAGGACAAATAAATTATACCTATTAATGTAGAAAGAAGGAAAGAGGAGAGAAGTATACAAGTGGCGATTCACAATTATTTAGATGGCCCACACCCTGAAAATAGGAAGCGCCTTTTGACGTATTCAATTTACTCGCTTTGGATGTCAGTTACTTATTCGCTGGCCTCACATGCATATCATGTCGCCCAATATTTTTGGTTCATGTGCGTTATTCATTAAAAGCTATTATGTATGATCTATCCTATTTTATTAGTCTATTAAGGAGAAACCTTTTTAATAAATTCACAGCTACCATATCTTCTTGCTGCAACTTGCAAAACCTGACTCACATCCAGATTATTTATATATATATATGGATCTCATGAAATTAAAACATTTATACAATTTTTTTTGTTGTCGTTGTATTAGAAATGAACTTTTGAAAGGAAGTTAAAATAATAATAATAATAATAATGTTAATTAGTGATATTTTTTCTTTTTTCAATTCAAAAGATAGAGAATTCAAGTCTAATTTTGAAGAATGCAATGTAAATGCTAATTGTCAAGTTGAGTAAAACTAAACTGTTATTATGATTTAAATCAGAAAATATGTTTCAACTACCATTTTTTTTTTTCGCTCTTTTAGAAAGAAAAAAAACTCTGAAAAAAAAAAGGTCTCGCAATAGTCACTTAACCCTCTGCATTTTAGTAAATAAAAATTAAAAGAAAAATACTCTACATTTTAGTAAATAAAAATTAAAAGAAAAAGATAGAAGCAAAGAAGATACCATACCACTATTCTATTTAAGTCCAGTCCAAGGAGGGACCAATAGAGATACAGAAACCCTCCACACCAACTAACCAATCACTTGGGCAGGCAGACAGAGAAATGGGGAGAGGAAAGTACTGTTACAGAGAAGTAATGCCATTCGCGGCCATGGTGACGGTGGAGTGCACCAACGTAGGCCTAAGCACACTCTTCAAAGCAGCCAGTTCCAGAGGTCTCAGCTACCAAGTCTTCATCGTCTACTCTTTCGCTATTGCCACTCTTGCTCTCTTGCCCTTTGCCTTCTTTTTCCACAGGTCTCTCTCTCTCTCTCTCTCTCACCCATCCCATTGCTTTTTCTAACACGCACGCACACACACACATGTATACACACACTATATATGTATTATTTGAATCTTTAATTGCAGGAAAACTTCGCTTCCTCCATTCAATTTCTCTCTCCTTTGGAGAATCTGCCTCCTTGCCATTCTTGGGTACTGATTTTTTAACCATTTTATACAACCATTTTGCTTCATTTTGATAAAAAAAAAAAAAAACCTTACAATTATTTAGATCCAATTAATTTATATATATATATGGGCATACCAGTTTTTCAGCTCAAATGCTTGGATTTAAAGGAATTGAGTACAGTTCTCCAAGTCTCGGCTCTGCCATCAGCAACCTCACACCAGCTTTTACTTTCGCACTTGCCATTATTACCAGGTTCGTCACTTCATTTACCTAATTCGTATTCAAATAAAAATGATTTTTTTTTTTTTTTTTTTTTTTTTTTTTTTTTTTTTTTTTCAAACATGAATACAAATTATTATTATTCTTTTTTTTCTTTTTTCTCTTAAATCTTAACTAATACTATCATTTCTTTTAAATTATCTCTTATTTATCTAGACGCACACTAAATTTTTTCCAAAATTATTCCCAGTCATGATATGGTATCATGATGTTAGTTGAAACCGATGCACGTTAGTGAACTGGGACCACGTGACGCATCATGCGAAATTCGGACTATCTTTTTTGCGTTGTATTATTGTTCTCGGGAGACAAGTTCAATCGTTTGTTTGTACAACTTGTGTCCCACAAGCATAAACTGCCAATAAGTTATTCTTTGTTGATTTTTTTATTTTCTTTCTTTTAACCGATTGTTTGTTGGTGATCTACTACTAATAGCTTAATAAGTTAGTTTCTGCCGAGAAACGACATATTTCTTAATTCGTGTGCATTGGTCGGTGGGTTTTCTTTTGTTTGTTTTCTGTTCATATATATAGAGTATAGACACACACACACACACAACTGCTACAATAAACTGTGTGCGAAAATTTTATTTATTTATTATTATTTTTGTCTGTTTCTTCATACTGTAACTTTGAAGACACAGCTGAAACGCAAATAGCCTAGTTCACTCAAATTTCTCTACTCTTCTAAAATTGTAAATGAAAATAAATTAATTATGTTTTTTCTTCTAAATATATTTACATATGAACAGAAATAATAATACTAGATCACTATTCTGAATTTCTAACTCATACAACTTTCTAATTAAGAAACATTAACCTTTAAAACATAAATTAAAATAGAGAAGAAAGGTGTTAGAGAATTCCCACAAGCCTAGAAGCGAGAGAGAGGGGCTTGTTTAAGAAACGTTTTCTCTGTGATTACATTCAAAAAAGTGAGGGAAATAGAATTGCAATTCCTAATATTTCCATGAAGATTTAGTGCCTCAACAGACAACAGCTCATTTTTAGGTTTTATTCTTGTCAAGAATTCTTTTTTGAAATGTGAGTAAAAAAAGAAACTAGTTTATTTTAATAGATGGAGATGTATGCGTTTTTTTTTTTTTTTTTCATTGGTACCTCACATACACATTTGTCTCTTTTGAGACTTGAATCTCACCGCTAGACCACTAACCTCGTTAATGTATGCACTTTCTAACTTGGCTTTATCTTCATTCATTTATTGTTTATTAGGATGGAAAAGGTGACGTTGAGAAGTGCAAGCAGTCAGGCTAAAATTTTAGGCACCATAGTTTCAATATCAGGTGCACTTGTAGTGGTTCTATATAGGGGTCCAGCAGTTTTAAGGACACCATCACAATCCCTTTCACTCAATCAGCCTCTGACTTCACCACAATCCAATTGGGCTCTTGGTGGTCTTCTTCTTACCGCTGACTATCTAATAATCTCTGTATGGTACATTTTTCAGGTACAATTAAATTCTCTGTGCTCTTTTTAAATCCTATTTCGTTCTAGGAAGAAATTCATAAATGTTAATCATATTTCAAGGATCAAGCAAAACCCTAGAGTTGAATCCGTAACATATTTTACAGGCGCAACTTGTCAGAAGGTACCCAGCAGAGCTACTTGTAGTCTGTCTATACAGCTTAGCTGTGACCATCATATCTGCACCAGTATGCCTACTCACAGAACCGGACTTGAACGCATGGAAATTAAGAGCTGATCTAACGTTGGTCGCCATTCTATATTCAGTAAGAGCCTGATGAACTGACAATTCGGAACATTATTTCTAAACAGTAAATCCTAATTGCAGCCTCTATTTTTTTTGTTAATTTAGGGAGTGATTGGATCATCCCTTGGTACTGTGGTTCATACATGGGGTCTGCACCTGAAAGGGCCTGTGTATGTAGCATTGTTTAGGCCATTGTCGATTGGCATTGCAACTATCATGGGGGTCATTTTCCTTGGTGATACCCTCTATCTTGGAAGGTGAAATTCCAACTCTCATGTACTCATTTTTTAATCATTAGAGTCGATTACTTGGTTTAATTGATTTAACTCTTTAATTCTCTATATAATCTGTTTTGTTTCATTGCCTAATTGCAGTGTTATTGGAGCAATAGTAATATCAGTTGGGTTTTATGTTGTAATATGGGGTAAGGCAAAAGAAGAGATGGGTAAGGATGTTGCAGTTAGTGATTTGGAGTCGCCAAATGCTCCCCTGTTGCGAAGCTATCCAAGTTAAGGAAGGTAGAAGAAGCACAAAACAGCCCCTAATTGCCAAATGTTAGAGTGGCAGCTATGATACAAATTGTTGATTGTCCGCCGAGGCATTAATTATTTATGTGATGTTGCAATGAAATTACTGCACATTTTCTCCGTCCACAAATGTTAAACAATGGTAAGATCACAAATTATACTTGTTGAAGGAAGAATATAAATAGGGCAAAAAGAAAGAATCAATAAAGAAACAAAAAACAAAGATGCAGCAACAAAATATCTATATATATATATATATATATATCTCTAACAAGCAACAAGAAACAAATTATCGGAAAGACCTGAAACCTCATAGAGCTTCCATCACAATCACCTTCAGAACCTCACTATCTCTGTAGACTTCACACTAAACAAGAAGGTACATGAGCAAAATAATCATTTGTGTCAACAAATACAATACAACCATAACAGCTCACCAAATCATCACTGAATATGTTAATAAAAGGGTATATAAAACATATGTGCAGTAATATTCCACAAATAATAATAATACTAATAACATACACTTTTATAGTTGGCCAATGCTTGGAACAATTTATAGATATACTTGTGCTTAGTGTCACTAAAATAGCAAAAAATAACTATTATTCTCTACAAAAATTCTTATATCCTTCTCAAAGAACAGCTTTGACCAAACAAAATTTTGAATTGTTACGTGTCTTTCTGTTCTTTAAGATTACACACACACACACACACACACACACCAAAAAAAAAAAAAAAAAAACTGTTCTTGAAAATTGAACCACATATTCTTGTTCTCTTGATGCAGCATACATGCACAGACGTGTGATATGTTCAGTGGGGGCAATTGCAATTGCCCCCACTGAATTTTGTTTTTTTTATATTATTATATACTCATGTAATTCTAATATTGCCCCCATATAAATTAGCAAAAAAAAAAAAAGGGAAAAAAGAACACATAATTTTCTGGGTCCATATTCTAGACCAAGTCAGTCAATGCATAACATAAAATCATTGATTGAGATTTAGTATTTTATTTGTACTTGGAAGGAATCATCTCATACCTTCCCCTCAATTTAATGGCCATCACTTCCCCTTGGCGCACCTCAAATATTAATAACAAATGAAAGGAATAATACAAAATCAAAAAATTATAGGAAGGGAAAGAAGTAGACAATGCTTCTATAGGAGTGAAGATGCAATCATCTTCCCCTTCAGTAGCTTAAACCAACCGACAGAAATGCACCCCAGTTTGCCAAGACAATCACAACAAATCAAGGCAATTTCAATGGCATACAAAAAGCATCCAACAAAATTCAAAACTGAAAAAATGTAGTTACAGTGTACACAATTATCCAAGAGGGACTTGAACCACCAACCTCTCAAAACTCTTCTAAACGTTCTTATGATTTTGAGCATATGAATCCACCAAAGGCATAGCAACAAATTTCAATTTTGCAACAGTATCCCATCCTTTTTTAAATTAGTAATTTCAATCAAGAGAGTTTATTCACATATAAACTCATAAATGACTAGAGAAAATATGGATATAAAAAATTATGATCAAATCAACTTATAAAGGACTTCCCAAACATCCAAAATCATTCTGAGTTGCATAGCTTCTGACAGAAGACATCATAAAACACTTGCAATATCATAACCCAAAATTTCTAATCCAAGTGTCATCTATTTTCTATTCTATCAACCCTCAGAAGTTCCTAAGTATTCCATGTAATTTAAAATAGATTTTTTCCAGCCCATTGTCCCAACTAAATAAAATATATGATTTAACGTATTTGAAAAAATAGATTCAGCAGCAGCAGAAAAAAATAACTCAGATTAAAGCTTTTCAGCATTATAGAATTGATACCGCTTACCAAGGGTCCCTATCTTGGTCCATGGTGAGCTACTTCGGGTCCGTCCATAGCACTTCCATCCATCCCTCTAACGATCGGCATCAGAATCGGCCTGTCTGTTCAGTTCAGTCCACATCCTGTCTTATTCATTGTCTCTCTACCTTCTAGGTCTAGATACACATCCGCATGTCCATAAATCAGGCAATCAGTAACAGTAAGATAACGAGGGGGCTGTCGCACGCTTCAAACCGCATTAAGGAACATGAAGTTCACATTCTTTATCGGTATTTCGTTTTTGGGACCTCTCTCAATCTCTGAAATCGATGCAAGGGGCAAGACAACTACTTTTAGGAGACAACTTGTAACATATCTAATTGCTCCTGATTTTCTTTCTTTCCTTCTCTCTCTCTCTCTCTCTCTCTTTAGATATCCATTGGACTTCTCTCAGTTACATCATCATTAGCAAATGCCTTGTCTGGTTTTATAGTGGCATTGTCAACACTATACGAAGTGTAATGATATTCAGGCCGATAAATATTGCAGAATTCCTTGACCGAATGCCCTTGATTTGTCATTTATACAAGAGATAAGCAAGTGGGGTCTATTTTGCATACATGACCAATTAAAAACATTCGATCAAAGAATCCTGCCAAACTCGTCGCTTTAAAATCATTTTCCGATATGAAATACCAATTTCAAGCCCCATCTGTCATTAGAATAAGAGGACCTTAAAGGACAATAAAGACAACTAAAAACATTAGGGCATGAGTTACAGATTAGGGTCGGCTTACAGATTAGCAGTCGAGACCACAAAACATGAGACTCTTGACGAGAAAGTAGCTCCAGTTGTAGAAAGCCTGCCTTTTTTTGTTAAGAGACCTGTTTCCCTCATCCAATCGTCTATTGAGAATTAGCCCCTTCCATTATGGAACTTAGAGAGGCACTGCGAACCTTCGAGTTCTGAAAACTTATGTTAAATAAGCTTAAGCACGGTATACCTGGACGCATCCTTCGCCCACGACATTCAAATGAGAACCTTGGCCCTCGTGCTCCTCCCGAGCAACTATAAAGTCAAAATTCATAAAATTGAATTAATTAAAGAATCCTGGACTAGAAAAAACAAAATAAAGTCAATACTTACTTTTGCACAGCTAGACATGATCAACTAATAAGATATCTGGTGGAGGAAGAAAGCACATTCACAGAAAAAAATAATAATGAGTAGATATGCTACATAAAGGACGCTAAAAGTAAGTGAAAACTAAACTTGCTCTGAATAAAGAAAGTACATTCTTGACCAAAAGGATAGGATGTGCTGCTCTTAAACTCCCAGTAACTTGCCCAATTCATCATTAGCATCCATAAATGACTTTATTTTAAACAATTATAACGACGGTAAAGAAGCATAATAGGAATACCAAAGGGCAAAACATCCTGAACTGAGTAAAGCATTTAAGATGGCCAGCAAAAGAAGGCTAGAGAGAAGAGTGATCAGCTGTTACCTGTTCCAACAGAAAACGAAACCTGATGCCAATAGGATTCAAACAATTGATTAAATCATTCTTGACCTCCTCCACTTATTATTGGTGCTGGGTCTTCGTTATCCTTGCTGCAGGTGCTAGAGAGAAAGATGAGATATTTCATTTGGGGATCAACTGATGATAGCAGGAAACTTCACCATTTGAATTGGGATATCTTGACCTCTCCTAAAGTAGAAGGTGGCTTTGGCATCAGCAAGGTATCTGATACAAACCATTTTCCTCCTGTAAGTCAACTTGGGATTTCATTAGATCCGAAAAATGCTTGTGGGTGGCTTGGTTTAACTATAAGTGCAACACTAACGCCTCTTACTGGAATTCTGTCCTCAGGGTTTCAAGCTCGTGTTTGGAAGAAAATGGTGGCTGCTTCAGCACATTCGCAACAGGGTTGGTTCTGGAACCACCATCAGTCTATTTGATGTTCCTTGGTTCCAGAATCCGTCTCTAATTCAATAATTTTCTTATAAATTTGCAGAGATTTTTTTTTTTTTTTTTGATAAGTAAATTTGCAGAGAATTGAAATTGAACTGGACTGCTAAACTTGATTCTTTAATTGTTTATGGTAGATGCATGATCCCTAGTCCCAATTCATTGTGGTCCTGATAAGGATCCTTTGGGATTCAACCGAGTTCTCTTTTAAGAAAGCTTTGGAACTGTGGCATGGTTATGGTAACAAAGTGAATTGGTTTAACTTATGCTGGAATGGATTTAGGCCTAGAGTTGCTCTCACTTCTTGTTTGTCACAAATAACCTTCTAAGGTTAGTCTCAGAAGAAGAGGCATTTGTATGGCTCCCGTGTGTAGTCTACGTTATGCTGCAGCTACAAGAGATCACTTGTCACCTGTAACTTTATTGCAAATATTTGGTTCTGGTTCATTGCCTTTTTTAAATAGGACTTGCAGCTGAATGACAGATTTCTTCACTTAGCTGAGTGGTTCCTCACCTTTCAAGGCTATATAACATGGCTCAAAAGATTGTGAAGAGACTTTCTCCACTGCAAAGTGGCATATCTGGTGTGAAAGAAACCACATACTGCCTGATGGAAGATCTACAAGTGCTGATGAAGTTGCTAAACAGGGAGGTTCTTGATGTTTCTGGCATCCAACTCCAAGATCTAGCTTTATTTTTCTAGTCGCACTTCGTTTTAGTTCTTCTACTGTTTTGTGGGGGTACGCCCCTACTTGCTTCATCATAAAATTTCCATCTTGCCCAGGAAAAAATAAAAATAAGAAAGATAATCTAATGAAATATAATGAAGTAGTTACACATTACCGTGACGTTGCAACGAAAATTGCCACTAGGATGCATCCAACTTATCCTTGCAGGATCTTAAATATGCTTTTGCTGCACATAGTTCCAAGAATGAAAGTCAATGCAACCGTGAAAGACTCCAACCCAAAGAGAGTGAAACATGAAAACGGATAAAGATCCATCTCACCGCGCATTTTCTCCAAGCACAAATGTTAAACAATGGTTATAACTCAAATTATACTTGTTGAAGGAAGAATACAAATACTAACAAGGGAATGAGGAATAAAAGGGGCAACAAGAAGGTTAGAGTCAATAATGAAACAAACAGCTGAGATACTTCACAAGCTCAAGTGACACTTCAGCAAGTGCCACTCTGTAATACCCCTAGTTTTCAAAAGGATAAAAAGGGAAGTTAATTATTTATTTTATTACAGTTTATTTAATTATGTGAGTATGTGCTTACGTGGCTATGTGTTTATGTGGCTACATGATTATATGCTAATTGTCTTAATTGCTTATGTGATTTATTTGAATTAATTAGGTGCTTGTGTAGTTAATTAATTGGGTGTTTTACTTGCTAAATTGATGTGTGGTTTAATTGTAGTCATTTATTTGGATTAAATCAAAAGGAAACCAGAAGGGATGAATGTGCATGAGTAGTCTATTACAAGCGATAGCCTCTGACCTACGCAAGGAAAATTAGCTACAATAGCACAGACGTGGC